ATTTGGAACCCCCCGACCCAGGTGACAATTATGCCATTAAGGCAGGCAATACCATGAATAACTGCCGCTTCACTCTGACACTTGTTACCCTGAGACCTTCGTAAACGGCTCCTATTCTCTGCCCCTTAGCTGCCTCCCCAATGCAGGGGGGCTCCTGAGGGTCAGGAGGATGGATTCCAGCTGGCAGACAGGAAATGTCTGGGAAATGGCCCCTGGTCCCGGAATTGTGCCTGCTTCGGGGACCAACTTAGTGGCCTTGGTTCACAGTACCCTTGTCGTCTGGGTGCTGGGAAACACTGGCGAAGGTCGTTTCTCGTTTCTGTTCTCAGTTGCTGTATCATTGCTCGTCCTATAGCCTCGGCCATTGATGTAAAGAGGATTTTGTTCTTTCCAAGGCTACTACTACGTTTTATTTGTTATTAATGGGCATGTTTTTATTGCTCTGTTTTACCTGCCACACACTGTCTCTCAGATTAAAGTAATAGCACCTTCAGTTAATAATACCTTGTACTTAGGAGAGTCTCTTCATCCCAGCAGCTCAAAGCTTCCTGCAAACCTGACCTCATTCATTCTGCCCGCTCCCAGGACGGGGCACTCCCACGCCTTGCACCCCTTCATCTTCAACCAGATTCTTGAGGAAGAGTGTGTCCACCTCTCAGGATGCAGATCACAGGTGGAGCTTGCGGCCTCCCTCCACCTGGGGTGAGTTTTTGCCCACAGAAGATAACCAGAACCCCAGTCCCGCTGGCTTGGAGCTATGCCAGCTGTGCCAGGCTCAGGTGCCCACAACCGTGTCCTGCAAATAGTAAAAATGTTTTTTGAGACAGAGTCTCACTCTGTACTTGAGACTGTACCTGGAACTCACAGTGATCCTCCTGTCTCAGCCTCCCAAGTGCTGGGATTACAGGTGTGCACCACCACGCCCAGGTGCAAACAGTAAACTTTAAATAAACCACCTCCATGCTCAGGAAATAACCGGCTTGGCAAATTGGAGGGCTTGCCTTCCTTGAGCACTTAATGAAGACCTGGGGGCCATCAGGTATATTACTCATTAGCAAGAACTGTCTCTATCCAGGGTTAGGTTAGGCCCTGCTGCTCAGGGCCCTGGCATGTTTGACACCTATATGTACTCGTAAAAACCTGCAGCCCCATGGTGGCTTCCTTCTGGGGCCCCTTGTGGCTGGAGCTACCTGGCAGTGTAAGCCACTGGCTGGTTGCTCTAGTTTCCACATTGCAATTAAGGTTTGGAACCACATGTTTGGGCCTCCAACCTGGAGTTCCATATCCCTGGACTCAGTCAAACTTGGATTGAAAACATTCAAGAAAAACATGTGTCTGGACTGAACAGACTTTCTCAGTCATTACTTCCTGAACAATACAGTGTAACTACTGTTTACAGCAGCATTTATATTGTTTTAAGTATTATAAGTAGCCTACGGATGATTTAAAGTATAGGGGAGAACATGGGTAGGTTCTGTGCAAATACTGCACATAAAAAGCCCTTACATAAGGGCTTTGACCGTCCACAGAGTTTGGCATCTTCATGGATTTGTGGAACAAATTTCCCATGGATACTGAGAAATCAGTATATTATATAACTTTAACTGACTCTCCAGCCACACTCAGTCTCAGCCCCGTGAACACTTCAGGGTGGTTTGGTTTTGTTTTTGGTATAGGGGATTGAACTTGAACCACTGAGTTAAATCCCCGGCCCATACTTTTTTTTTTTTTTTTTTTCCACTTCAAGGTGTTTAAGGGGCCTTGCAGAACTCCTACCCCTTCAAAACAAACAAACCAAAAGACAAACTAAATGAGATTAGCTCATTTCAGTGCCCAAGGCTGTTTTTCTTCTCTCTTCTTTTCATAGCACTGATAATCGGACTCAGGGCTCTGCACTAAGGTACATCCCCAGCCCTTTTTATTTTATTTCAAGACAAGATCTCACTAAATCACTAAATTTCCAAGACTAGGTTCCAATCTGGAGCCTCCTGCTTCAGCCTCCCAGAGTACAGGGATTACAGGTGTGTGCCGCTGTGCTCAGTTTGCTGGGGCAAGCACTACTACTGAGCTAAACTTCCAGCTGTGTTTTGTTTTGTTGAGACAGAGTCTCACTATGTAGTTGAGACTGACCTGAACCTCACTATGTAGCCCAGGCTAGTCTGGAACTCACAGCGATCCTCTTGCCTCAGCTTCCCGAGTGCTGGGATTACACGCATGCGCCACCATGCCTGGCTAGCTGTGTTTTGCATCAGTACATAAAACTGGTTGTGCCAGGTGTGATGGCACGTGGCTAGGGATTTGTTCTCAGGTTCTTCTCTCTGCCATATCAAAATTCTCTGATGCTCAAGTCTCAAATATGAAAAGGTATGATGTTTCCCTATCATTTATGCATATCACTGGGCATGGTGGCAAACACCTGTAATCTCAACTCTCAGGAGGCTGAGCCAGGAGGATCACAGTGAGTTCCAGGCCAGCCTGCACTATATAGTGAGATCATGTCTCAAAAAACAACAACAACAAAGCTTATGCAATCCTCCGATGTACTTTAAATAATCTTTAGACTACTTATAATACCTAACACAATGTAAATAGCATTCATACTATATTGTTCAGGAAATAACAACTAGAAGAAAAGGTCTGGCTGGGCATGGTGGTGTAGGCCTGTAATCCCAGCATTTAGCAGGCTGAGGTAAGAGGATTGCCGTGAGTTTGAGGCCAGCCTGGGCTATATGGTGAGGCCCTGTCTCCAAAAAACAAAAGAACAAAAAACAAAAGTCTGCACGCTGAGAACAAATGAAGTTTTTTTTTTTTGTTTGGTTTGGTGCTAGGAATCAAATGCAGGGCCTTACCCATGTTAAATGTGATCAACTACTGAGCTACTCCCAGTTTACAATATTTTAAAAATACATTTTTTAAAACTCCTGTAGTTGGAAAAAAAAGTCATTAGTTGAATGTACCAGATACAGAGGTCAAACTGTACCTACCTTCCTAACTCTTCTTCCTTAAATTTATTTAAATATATAGTCCTTTTTCCACCCTTCCAGTTCCCTACAGGCGGAACACAACCCGGAAGGCCAGATCCTAATTTAGAAGGTGGAAACTCAGCACACATGAACAAATTTGGGTTTTGAAGGACTAGATCTGCGGGTCAAAGTAGGGTGTGCCCAGAGTCCTGACTACTCTAGAGGTTGAGGCAGTGGAATCCCTGGGACCAGGAAGGAGTTCAAGGTCTGCTTGAATAACATAGCAAGACCTGGTCTCTAAAATTAAGAAAGTAAATAAACAAATAAAGGGCTAGGGTTGAAAAAGTACTTGTGTAGAAACAATCACTTTTTTGGGGGGGAGACAAGGTCTCATGTGTAGCCCAGGCTAGTCTCCAACCTGTAGTGATCCTCCTGCCTCAGCCTCCTGAGTGCTGGGATTATAGGCCTGTGCCACCACGCCCAGCTACCACTCACTGTTCTTTAAAAGGTAGTACAAATTAAAACTGTGGTTAGGTCAACCAATTTGAAAGAAAAAAAATTCACCTTCGGTATTAGTCACTTGAGAAAGTGACTTTTCTCCTAGCCGTTATATTTATTGTATATTAATATTGGTTTACATTCTCACAGAGCAAGAGCTTCCTCCGTCCTCGGGGTGGGTGGGTAAGTGATTAAAAAGGGAACAGGAAGAGGGTGGGAAATGTTCTGTTTTTTTGTTTTTGTGGTGTTGGGGATTGAATCCACGGCCTTCACACAGAGGTACAGCCCCAGTCCCTTTTTAATTTTAAATTTAGAGACTAAAAATCAAGTCTTCTCTACTTATAGGGTCTTGGTAAGTCTCTAAATTTCCCAAGCTTGGCTCAAACTTGGGCTCTTCCTGCCACAGCCTCCTGGGGTGCTGGGATTACTGGTATGTATCAGTGCTGTTCATTTTGTGAAGTCTTGCAATCTGTACCCTCAGGGACACTGCTTTCCGTACATGATACTTCTTTTAACTTCTTTTTTTTTCTTTCCTCGCTCTGGTGATTGAACCCAGGACCTCCTGCTCTACACTATACCTCACGACTTAAAAAAAAAAAAAAAAGTAGGACAAAAGTTATTTTTAAAATTAAATATTTTTAAGACTAGAGCAGCTGCAAAGGTTCTGTGTTTTCTATTTTGATCATTCTGTTTCTCGAGATGACCACATCTTTCAGAGGAAATGAGTCAAAGCCACTCTGTCTTGCTTTTCCAGCTGAGCATGTTAAGTTTCAATGAAGTAATGAATGAATTCCGCCGCACCACCCCCCAAGTCTACAACAGCAAACAGACAGGCCTGGACCAATCAGCAGGCAGTCCAGGTTTTCAAGTTGAGTTCAAACAGACCCACAGGAGGCCAATCAGCGGGCGCTGCCCCGCCCCCAACTCCCTGCCGTGGCCAATCATAAGCCTGAAAAAGTCAAAACACAGCGGCCGGCCAATGCGGGAGAGCCCCACCGCGCTGAGCTCCGCCAATGGGTGCGGCCCGGCGAAAAGAGAAACAGTGCGGCCCCGGAGCCGGCCGCAGGATTCTGATCGAACGTCGGTGCGGGAGCCG